GAAAGTTTGGCAGGGGGTATGCCAGCTCTCATGCAACTGCAAGCTCGCCTCATCTTCGCTTCTCCTCAAGTCCTTTCTTTCCAACAGGAATCCTCCATCAAGGGATCCAAGGGAGATGAGTGTTTAATCTTGCCTGTCCCCTTTCCCCAGTCATGAGATGTAGGTGTGACCACTGGCTGCTTTGCAGTTTGACTTCAGGCAAGTTTCCTCTTCTCAAAGATGAGGAAGATCTGATACCATGTGAGGAAACACCTGGCACGTGGGACCAGGCCATCATTTGCTGATGAAGCTAAGAGCTTCTGATCATTCCCCAGGAGTCAACCATCTCATACCATTTCTTATTTGTTCACTTGTTTGGGGGTAATTTTAAAGTCATGAACTCTTACCCAACATGCCTGAGCAATTGTAGTTCTGAAGCCAAATACCAGACGACACTCTCACGAGCCTATTTTAGGTCCTCTCCCCTGCTCCATGCCACGCCACCCACCCCATGCTACCCTAACTATGCACCACACACCACCCCTCCTCTGTTCAGCTGGTGCCATGAGGCAGCACAGCACCTGGAGAGCCCTGCCACTTGGCCCTCCTGGTCCCTGCCTGGGTAGAAGAGGCATCATCACCCCATCCTCTCTAAGGAGGTTCTCCTGACCTTCTGCGGGGTCAGCCGTCGGCTGGTTTCCTCCACTTGGACAGGTCTCATGAACTCGGGCACCAGGCTGTCCGCCAGGGCTGGTAGTCCAGTTCCTCCTCAGCTCGTTCACAATTTAGCTCTTAACATGGCCCCTTCTCCCCTAGAGACCTTATGCAGAGTCCTAATTAGAGCACCGTGTTCCTCAGGAAATAGGTGAGCAGAACACAAAGAGCAGCTTGTTTTAATCCTTTGACCCTGTGCAGTTGTAGGGCAGTTTTTGCGGTAATGGGAAGGTACCAGATGCCCTGGAAATCCGACACACCCACCTGGGACAAGAGCAAGACAAAACTGATGGCAAGAACACAGCCAGGAAACCCAACTCTCAGGGATTCTCTGGACTCCACAGACCAGTCAAGAAGGGTTCTTGGGCCGTTCTCCCATCACTCACACCACACAAGGGAGGCACACGGTACCCGGCAAAGGGTTGCCAAACTTCCTCTTAGCACTGACTCAGTCTTTCCACTTCCCACTTCCTGCAAACATTTTCCTTGACAATTCCTGACTCTGGGATAAAGGGACAGTATTTCCTGTGGGAGTCAGGCAGATTAGTTTTCACTAAATGCGGACGTGAAGAGCTAGATAAAATAAAAACTTGTTGGGCTAGACAGTGTCTGCCAAGACTGATGAAAAAAGTGAATTTTTTTATATCTTTATTGATTTCAGAGAGGAAGGGAGAGGGATAGAAATATCAATGAGAGTCATTGATCGGCTGCCTCCTGCACGCCCCCTGCTGGGGATCGAGCCTGCAACCCGGGCATGTGCCTTGACAGGGAATCAAACCGTGATCTCCTGGATCCTAGGTTGATGCTCAACCGCTAAGCCACACCAGCTGGGCAAAAAGGTGATTCTAGATTGAAGATGAACACACCCCGATCAGCCCTACCACCCAACCTGGTCTCAGTGGGCATGAGAAAAGCCAGGAATTCACTGAGGGAGCCCTGTTCTCTAGGTGAGGTAGGAAGAGGTCTGGACAGGTGACAATGCTGGCTGAGAAGGTAAGTCCCACCAAGGGCACAGATGCGGCTCAGATGACCAGGAGGAAGGCCCAAGGCTGGACCATGCTGCCTCCAGCCCACCTCACCCCCTCCAGATTTCATCCCTTGCTAAATCGCACAAGCCTGCGCTGTACATAGTGGCTGTGCCGTTTCCTTCCTATTCTCTTACACCAGTCCTCTGCCGGGGTCCCTGGCAGGCAGCAGCCACTCCATTCTGCAGCCACGGCACTCAGCCCACTGTGGATGGTCAGGCAGGGCTAAGAATACTCACACCTCCTGGGGCCTGGTTTACACCTATGAGAAACAGCCACTCATTTGGAGAGACCAGCTGTCCACACCCGAGGACCTGTCTTGCCAGCCAGTTCCACTGTCCCTCAGAACTGAGCCACAACAGTAAGGAGTGAACATAAGGGTCAGAGTAGGTGCTTCAGTCTAGATGAGACGACATACAAACAAGTGCAGGATCTTAGGAGGTGGGTAGCAACTCTTACTATACCAGGGTCCCCTAAAATGCATTCCTGGCCACTGCCAGCCTGGGGGTGGGGGTGGGGAGGGGCTCTGGGAGACCACCCCCTCTGTCCTGGAATAGCCAGAGCACCTCAAAGTCTTTCCTCTTACATAGTTCAATTCTGCCTCTCTGGGACAATTTAAAAAAAAATGCTCTATTATGAAAATTTTAAGTCTATATAAAATTTAAGTCTATATAAAGAACTTGGTGTATTCCTTACCCAGCTTCAATAGTTACCAACACACGGCCCATCTTGTTTCATCTCTAACTCCACCCACTCCTCTGGGACAATTTTAAAGACCAAATGGAGAAAAGCCTGTTTGTTTATTATGAAGCTCTGAGTGTGTGGGGTACACTGGCTGGCTGACCTATCACCCAGTCCTAACCCCCCACCCCCAGCCCACTTCCGGCCTTCCAGGTCAGAGGCTTTTCCAGCCTCTCCCACAGCCGGGGGTGGTCAGAGAGCCAGCTATGGCCGATGACACACAAATGAAAGCCTGCTCTGAGGCTGCTTTTAAGTCTCATAACAAGAGGATATATGGGTGTGCACACACACAGGTATTAAGCCGTTTCATCAGCAAGATGAACTTGGTTCAATATAGGTGCTTTTAAAGCTATTACATGTAGATCAAGAGGGAGGCAGCTGAAGTCAAGGCAAATGGAAGTTTTAAATGTAAAAGTCTGGGAACACCAAAGTAAGGATTTATGAAGTTGGGAGGGAGGGCATGTGTAACAAGGATGGTGCACATAGCTACCCATTTGCACTCCTGACAAGCTACCAGTCTGCAGGAGACAGGACTAGGCTACAGGGCTTTTCAAGACTCATGGATGTGTAAGTCATCGAGTGGAGATCAGATGTGTGCAGCAAACCTGCTGGGAAAACACGCAGTGAATCAAGAGACAGCAGAAAGAAACCGACCTTTCTGCAGAGCTGTAACATTAATCTGATGCTTGTTACAGAAGCCTGTGTGAGGATTCTCACTGACACAGCTGGCTTCTCTTTCCATGCCTGGGAGCAAAGCAAGAATAGCAAACCTACCTGTGCCAAGAGCCCAGCGTGCTCTTGCAGCATTTGTCTTAATCTCATAGGCTTCAAAGGTGTGATATCTGCTAAAAAGAAAAACCCTAATTACAATGAGTTTAGCACCATTTATTCAATAGGATTATAATTCATTCTTCAAACCAGGAGGAGCCACTCATGTTGTTGATACAAGGGCAGCTGAGGGGAAGAACTGTGTGAAGAGGAAGGAACGCTGGAGGCCCTCAAAACTCCAAGAAAAAAGTTAGGGCAACAGTCACCAACAGGACAGTGAAAACAGACGATGCACAGAGGATACCACACGGCAGGACTGGCATCTCAGTGTCCGCTGGTGGCTCCTATGGGTCTGGATGTCCTGCCCTCATCTAAACTCTGGCTGTTCTTAGGTTAAAGGACTTTCCTGTTATTTCTGTGTCCCTGTGCAGGACTATACCTGAAGCCTGACAGGCCATCTGTTCTGATGCTGGCCTGAAAATGCTCTATTACTCCTTCTAGAATCCTTCATCAAAGTGGATATGAACAGACAATGTATTCACATGTAGCCTGTAAAATACTTTTCTGAGAATAAGGTCCATAACCATGTAGGATTGACAATCAGGTCTTGCTTGCTGTGAGCTTCTGACCACATATTAGAGGATTGGATGGAGAGATGGGTACTTACACCCCTCAGGTGTGTCATGAGCTTATCTTAGCCCTGTGAGGTACTGGTGTTACTCATGCCATTGACAGAGCAGAAAATGGAGGCACAGAAAGCTGAGCCGTGGTCAAAGTCACACAGCTGGTAGCTGTCCAGAAAGGAACAGGATCCCAGTCTTTGGAACTCTGCCTTTCCCCTAAGGGACCCTTCATCCCTAGGACCAGGCTGTGGGGCTTAACTGCTTTATTAATATAAAGTTTGGGATTTAAATTCTCCAAAGAAGTACAAAAAAGAAATAGTCCTTCAGATTCTTCTTTGACGACCAAAAACTAAAGAATTATTGCCCGGCCGGGCGTGGCTCAGCAGTTGAGTGTCGACCTAGGATCCAGGAGTTTGCAGTTCGATTCCTGGTCAGGGCACATGCCTGGGTTGTGGGCTCCATCCCCAGTCGGGGGCGTGCAAGAAGCAGCCGATCAATGACTCTCTCATCATTGATGTTTCTCTCTCTCTCTCTCCATTCCTCTCTCTGAAATCAATAAAGATATATCTGAAAAAACAAACAAACAAAAAAAAACCCCTAAAGAGTTATTGAGGTGAGAGCATATCTGAAGTCAACTTTAACTCTGGGAATGGAGAAAGAGAGATGGTAAAGCCTTGGCTGGGTGGCTCAGTTGGTTAGAGTGTTGTCCTGCACACAGGAAAGGTTGCGTTGTGGGTTTGATCCCTTTGGGATGTGTATGGGAGGTGGCCAGTTGATGTTTCTCTCTCTCTCTTCCTTCCCCTCTCTAGAATCAATGGACATATCCTCAGGTGAGGATAAGAAAAAAAGAGTGAAGGTAAAAAAGAAATTCCTAATTCTTCAATATGTATCCTTATTTTCAGCCTTACTTTACACCAGTAATAGAAATCCTATGCAGGAGAGAAGCACGAATAGAACTGAGAACAAAATTGCCCAGGGACCTGGTGTTCCACCAACACTAGGGAACCTCCTGCCATCAGTCTCTGGGGCCAGGCTGACTTCAGAAAGAGCCCCATGGCCAAGTTCACATCCTCACCGTGGCCAGTGGGATAGGCCTGGAGTGTACTGGCTTGGCCTGGTGGACTCTGCAGCAGAATAAAGGGAAGGCGAGTAGTGTCATCATCTTCACCAGTCTTTTATAGGACCAACTTTTATTTTTTACTTTTATTTAAGGACAAACTTTTAGAAGTAAAATGAATGAAACCACGTGAGATGAAAATACAAAGAGAGAAATTCAATGTAGAAAAAAAGGCCTTCCTGGGAAACAGTAGAGGAGAGTCACTGGAGACATTTCACAGACGCACAGAAGCTCACATTGTAAACAGGATTAAGCTGCTAGGGATTTCCCCCCATAACATCAGGGTTTCATTTTGCTCAGCCTGAGATCTCGCTCAATTTCAAACTGCCTGTGATCCACTCGGTCTAGAAAAGCTTTCCGTTCAATGTACCTAGAAGAAAATGAAAAAGATGTTTGTCAACAGAATCCAGTAAGAGAAAGTGTCTCCACTGCACTGCCCCGTCCCCCAGGTATGAAGAGGTCCACTTGGGCAGCGGGATCACCAGTTTCAGCAAAGGCAAACAGATGACCACAGGTGGTGACCAGAATGACCACCCACGACTTTCAGTAACATGACTCTCACATTTGATCTAAAAAGGATGTTTCTGGTTCAGATGTGAACGAAAATAAAATGAAAAAAGAAAGCAACTTACCAAAGGGAAAAAACATGAGGCTTGGTGGCAGGAAAATGCTTCAATTTTGTAACAAGGCTTTAAGGACAGGAGAATGCGGGCTGAGCCAAGCATAGGTTCAGAGCCCAGCTCACTTATACTCTGGTGAAGGACTGAGTGTCTCTGAGACTCATTTTTCTCAAGAGCAAAATAGTGATGCCATATTTCCTGGCCTTAGAGGTGTGCTGAGTTGGTGGGGAGAGGAGCTATGCATTCTGCATATATACATCAGAATGTCACAAAAGGTCGTGGGAAAATGGAAGAAAAAGTGTAGTAAAAACCACCTCACAGGGCAGCAGGGAAGGTGAAGTGAACAGGTATATAAAGTGCTCACATTAGAAGGTATTTAACTGCCTCAGGCTTTCCTTCCCCTCACCCTCCCTCTTCTACCCTACCATCCACCCAGTAGGGGCCAGGTTGCTTCCAAGATGACAGAAGAGGCCTTTTTCTAAATTCCTCTAAGGGAATGAGATCAAGTGCCTCTGCCTCCCACAGTCCACATACAGGGGCCCCTTAAAAGGTCGGTGTTTTGCTCCCTAAGTATGAGGCCAGGTTCAGTAGAAAGGCTTTCCTGGGTCCTCCCAGGCAGGATGGGAAGGAAGCACAGGGCTGAAGTAGGCAGGCAGCTGCATTTTAATGCTGCTTCTTGCCATAAAGTGTGCCACGACTTGCCTGAGGGAGGGGATCTCTGTTGCTAATTAATCTTTTAAGAGAGCAAAACTGTCATTGAAAATGGGGCACATAACTGAATCTCTGCACTAATTTTTCTTTTGTTGCACTGTGGAAAACATGCACCTGTCATTACGTTTATGGTGAGAACCTTACCAGGCTTAGGAGCCTGTGTTCCTTTGCTGAGTTCAGGGCCTCACTTTCCCTCTCACAGCACCCTGTGAATTGCAGGCTGTCCCATCTACTTTCCAGCCAAGCTACCCTATGCCTTACTACAGAGGGGATGGCTTTAAATTTGAATCCTGACTCTGCCATTTGCTGGCTGTCTGACTCTAAGCCACATAACATTTCCAATTTAGCTAACACTGAGTAGGTGCTCACTAAAATGGCAGTGAGTGCTGTCACCATCATTTTGGGAAGCTAGTTTTCATCAGGGTCCTGAGGACAATCAATCCAAGAGGAGTAGTCAGCTCTCTAGATGTGTGTTATCAGCAACCAGTAGCCACCACCTGGTCTGGGATCAGGAACTAAGTGGCTGCGTCAAAGCTGCCAATAAGAGGCCAGAATGGCTGGACACACAAGGGCAGGGCCTTCTCCTAGGTTGGACATAAGCCCTCAGGGTCAGGTTGTCAGATCTCACAAATGAAATACAGGATATGCCCATTAAATCTGAATTTCAGATTCCCTGGTGGTTGGGGAAGACACAAACACTGGACCCCTTTTTAATAGAGAGAAAACAGGGAAGACTGACGGGGAGGTAGACACATGACAGAACAAATTCCCCTTCCATCTGTCACCAAGGGACCCAGGATTCTCCAGTGGGGACTGTTAACCAAAATAAACTGAAGGGCTTTGTCACAGTACAACCACCATCTCTCCCCACCCCAGCCAACTGGCCCTGGGTGAGGATCAGCATTTTGACAGTGGTGTGCTTTAAACGCCCCTTGAAGTTCCAGCAGAAAAAAAGGGGTGAAATTTAGGGCATGTTTCAAGAGAGCCATTACCCAGTGCTACCTGTCTGAGAGAGCAGGTTGGTGGTTAGGAAAAGTATGGTAAGCGGTTTTGAGCATTTGTGGTCTTTCTTCTTGACTTTCCTTTAAAGAAGAGGAAGTGATACTTAAATTAGGATGCATGCTGAGCATGAATAATGGCCTTGAAGGTTCCGGATAGCTGTGCTGGTCCAGCTGACCTTGAGACTATCAAGAGTGAAGCCAGGCTGAGTGCTAAAGAGGCAGGTGCAGGCGGAGTTCAGGTTTAGGGAAGGCCTCAGGCAGCAAAGAGGGGCACAGGTGCAGAATGCAACTGAATTCTCAAGGGCACTCCAGACAAAGGCCATCAAGACAGGTCTGGTGACTTCATTCCCCTATTCATAGCCATCTGCAGCTGCTAACGGGATCCTTGTGATGGCTTTGGTTTACTGCCAAGAGCTGACCAGGAACAAAATTTCTATTGGACATGGACACCCCCATCATTGAGGGACAAGGTGTCAAGGATGAGGATGGCTTTGACATTTACTATTTGTGTGACTCTGGGCAAGATACTTTATTTTCTGTGCCTTATTTTTCTTCTGTAAAACAGGAATGAAAATTACAGTGCCCCTCTGATGATACAATGAAACCGTGACAATTACTTTGTAAACAATAAAACCCCAAATAGCTATGAGCATTGCGGGGTTCTTGCTTCCCATTTCTGACTTGACTGATCACTATAAAGCCTCAGAACCTGGGACAGCTGGAACAGGGACCAAGGGGCCAAATGCTCTGGAAAGAGGAAGGGCTGGCTCATGGGGAAAGCCCCTCCTCCAAGGTGGCCTGACTAAACAGCCTATTTACACAGAGCCTCAGGAAGTTTCCAGGCACCTTAAGCACGTTACAGTCCCAGAAGAGAACTGCCAGCTGACAAGTGCATTGGTGCTTGTCTGACCTTACCCAGCACTCCTGGGACCCAGGTGGATTCGGTCCAATCCACTGGGAAGGGGGTGGGGGTGTCATCCCTTCCCTCTACTACTGCATTATGGCCCATTTAAGAGGCAGCAGTTCTCCACTTTCATTAATAAGATATGCTAATAGCATCAAAACCTAAGGGATTTTCTAGCTTTTCCTTTCAGAACCAGGTTAGCACAATAGGCTGAAATCTTTTTGCTCTTTCAACCCAAATTACTTTTCTGCCACCAATTTTCTTGAGATTCAGGCCAATGAGGAGGGAAGGAAAGATAGAAGAGGACAAGAGAAGGGTAGAAAATGCTTCCAGGGAGCATGTCAGCACCTACTTCTGGAAGCCCACACCACAAATGAAAGGATGGGCCACCAACCCACCTGAGACATCACCTCCAAATGGGCATGCGCACCTCCAAAAGCTCTATTACATGGCTGGTCACCTGCCCACGAGAGGCTTCCTGCCCACTGGTCAGGAAAGGAGAGAGCACAGGGATGTGGAGGCACATGTGAAGCAGGGGGAAAGAACTGGGGATGCTTCGGGGCTGTTATTAGTTGGCTGTGAGCAGAACCAATGTGCATTCAGTGCAGCACAAAAATGAGAAGGAAAGGGGGAACTTCAATGCCCAACACCAAAGCAACGGGCAGTGGAGGTGCTCCAAGGCTAGAATAAGGCTCTGGGTGGGTGTAATGAGATGGGAACTTTTTTGCCGTGAGAAATGCAACTGAAAGAAACAACCTGTCCAATACTTCACAAGCCTGTACCTCCCTCCGCCTCCCCAAAGGAGAGCTGTGACTTGCAAATATCTTGAGGGCCAGAGTGACAGCGTGGTGATTTTAATTAAGTTTCTCTCCACTGCTTTCCTCCCATCTCACCTTCACGTTGGGCTGGTTCTGAAAGAGTGGCTCTGGGGGGTAACGGAGACAGATTCTTTGGAGAAAGAAAATTATTTTCTTTGGTCTCTCCTTCATGCCTCTCCAAATTACAAACACCTGGTTTCCAATTATCGACTCCATGACCTTCAATTTTATTGCCAAGCAGCAGCCCACACCAAGCCTGTATATCTCTCATTTTCTACACATTGATCCCTTCCCTGAAGCCTGCTGGCCTCTGCCTCAGTAGTACTGCAGAGCTGCGCTGCTGATGGCGAATGGTGCCAGGGAACCTGTGGGATCGCTTACAGGCGAGAGAGAAGCAACACTGATCCTGAAATGCTGGACCCTGCCCTGGGAGTCTGGGCTCAGAGGAAAAGCATCTTTGGTGGAAGCATTTTAACTAACTTTGCTCACCAAAAATGATGCCTGGGTGGAGACATCATTAGGATGTATTCTCCCTTCTTTTCTGGGTTGTTAATTCTAATCCTACTGGGTTCCAAATCAAAGCCATGGCTGTCTGCTAGCCAGAAGGATGGGGACTGAGACAGTGCAGAGCTCAGCACCTGCTCTGGGTAGGTACTCTTGTAGGGCTGGTAACTAAGTGGTGAAGCAGACCCCACCCTTGGGACTTAGTATTTAGGAAACCAAACACAACAACATGCATCAGTTGGTAATAAGTGTGATGGAGAACAAACAGGGTGATATGACTGAGGATCGCTGGCATCTGAGTCGAGCCCATTGTGGAGGAGGGTCTGGAGGGGCACTACAGAGGCTGGACTGCCATAAGCATGGGAGAAGAGGAGGAGAGGTGGGAGGGCCTGGGATGACAGGTAAGGAGTTGAATACTGATTTCAGCAGGGAAGAGAGGAAAAATGGTTTGCATTTTTGTTGTTGTTGTTAATCCTTGCCTGAGGATATTTTTGCCATTGATTTTTAGAGACAGTGGAAGGGAAGGAGGGAGGGGGAGAGAGAAAGGAAGAGAGAGAGGGAGGGAGTGAGGGAGAGGGAGAGGAAGGGAGAGAAGGGGGGGAGGGAGAGAGAGAGAGAGAGAAACATCAATGTAAGAGAGACACTTCGATTGGTTACCTCCTGCACATGACCAACCAGGCCCGGGAATTGAACCTGCAACCCAGGCATGCCTCTTTGACCAGGAATCAAACCTGTGACCCTTAAGTCCATGGTCTAATGCTCTAACTACTGAGCCACACTGGCCAGGGCTGGTTTGTATTTTCTAAAAAAAT